GCGAGCAGGTGGGCTACATGCATGAGAGCGAACGCATCGACCGCTACATCGGCGGCCTGAAGCAGGACATCGCTCAGGAAATCCAGCTTCGCGGCGTCACCGAATTTCAGGAAATTCTCGCTATGGCGGAGAAGCTCGACTTCTTTCGCCGACCGAGACCGGGGTCCTACGGAAACAACAACTGGGGACATCGGCCTCGTGGGACGAACGAAAGCGCCACGATACGCGCCGTCGCCGCAAATGCCGCTGCCGCACCGTTCAAAGGGCGCTACTTTGCGTGCAATCGGCCGGGACATCGCAAGAGCGAATGCCCGGAAAACGCTAAGGGAAAGGGGGAAGCTGAGCAGCAGACACAGACCAAGCAGCAGGGAAACGCTGGAAGTCAGTAGCAGACGGGCCCTCTACTGACAGGTCACGCCGCTCGCCCGACCCAACCGACCCTCACCGAGTGATTGTGCCGGTTCACGCAATCGACCACACCCGGCCGAATAAGGAGGGTACCACGGTAGATAGCCCTATACTGCTCAGTGGGAAAATTGGGACGGACTTAGTTAAAATCTTCGTAGACGGGGGAGCCAGCCACAGCCTCATTAACACTGCTACAGCACGAAAACTGCGACTGCCACTGGACCGATGCTTACCTGAGATCGACGCACGACTGGTAGACGGCACGCCGCTGGCAATACGGGAACGCGTAGACCGAGTTCGGATTCGATGCGGGGGTAACTTCACGTTTAGTCAGGAAATGCTCGCAACGACCCTCGACGGAACCGACATTTTACTCGGGCGTGATTGGCTGCGACGACACAATCCGCGAATTGACTGGACGACGGGTGACTGCACCGTGCGAATAAACGGTAACAACATCGCCTTACCTCGCTGGGGCTCGCCTGAGTCTTCGTCGGTGCGTGTCAATGCGATCACGATGAAACGCGCTGTAGCGGCCGGAGCTGACGTGTATGCGGTTGACATTCGGGAAGCCGAGGCAGCAGACAAGGGAGGGGATTTACAGAAACTGCTGACCGACGTACCTAGTGACCTGGCGGCACTGTTAAAACAGTACACTGACATTTTCCCGGACGACCTGCCGACGAGACTGCCACCTCAGCGACCGCACGATCACAGGATAGAATTGGAACCGGGGGCACAGCCAACAGTACAGCGACAGTTCCGACTGACCCAACCCGAACTAGACAAACTGAAGAAGCAGCTCGATTACCTGCTCGAAAAGGAATTCATTCGCCCTAGTTCGTCGCCCTTCGCCGCACCCATACTGTTCACACCGAAAAAGGACGGGGGGTTTCGCATGTGTATCGACTACAGGGCACTGAACAGGGTTACCATCAAATCCCGTTACCCCATCCCACGAGCCGACGAACTGATCGACCAACTGCGCACAGCCTGGGTTTTCTCGAAAATCGACCTCCGGGGAGGCTACCACCAAATCCGCGTCAACCCACTCGACTGCCCTAAAACCGCATTCCGAACACGCTACGGATCCTTCGAATACACCGTCATGCCATTCGGACTGACCAACGCCCCCGCCACCTTCCAAATGACCATGAACGAAGCATTCCGCCCGCTTTTAGATAAGTGCGTCATTGTTTATCTGGACGACATACTGATTTACAGCCCTGACAGAGCACAGCACTTACAAGACATCGAAGCAGTTTTTAAAATCCTGAGTGAGAACCGCCTACTGACCAAAGCATCTAAGTGTGAGTTTTTACAGGACCGCCTGGAGTTTTTGGGACATGTTATTTCAGCTGCAGGAGTGGAAATAGACCCGAAGAAAATCGCGACGATCCAGGCTTGGCACGCGCCGACCAACTTGACCGAGTTGCAGAGTTTTCTGGGGTTCGTCAACTACGTGCGCCGGTTCGTCCCCGACATGGCGAAGCTGACTGCCCCGTTGACCGACCTGCTGAGGAAGGGGGTTGAGTACACGTGGGGGGAGAAAGAGCAAGCTGCCTTCTTGGCCCTCAAAGAAATTTTGTGCTCCCCGCCCGTCCTTCACATTGCAGATCCCCACCGTCCGTTCGAGCTCGTCAGCGACGCAAGTGACATCGCTGTGGGAGCAGTACTGTTGCAAGACTTCGGGAACGGTCTCCAGCCAATCGCGTACGAGTCCCGCAAACTACACCCGCCCGAACGTAACTACCCGATACACGACCGCGAGATGCTAGCGATCGTGCACGCGTTCAAAGTTTGGCGATGTTACCTCACTGGCGCCGACGTGACAGTACGGACAGACCACCGCTCGCTACAGTACCTTCGCGCCCAACCGAATCTCAACCCACGACAGATTCGCTGGTTGGACTATCTCGAGTCCAACTTTCACTACACCGTTACGTACAAAAAAGGTGCATCCAACATCGCCGACGCTCTCACCCGCCCCACCGCCCACCTCCACGCCATCCTACTCGCCCAGACCAACCCGCTTTTAACTGGCCTATTCACCCACGGATACCGCACCGACCCATTTTTCACGACCGGAAATTCACAGCAACTGCAGAAGCAAAAGGAGTCTATTACGTAAAAACAGGCACCAACCGCATTTGGGTACCCGCGTACTCGCTACTGAGGGAGCTGCTACTACAGGAGGCACACGACGGGATTACCTCGGGACATTTCGGGGTAGAAAAAACGCGACAGCAACTGCAGCGGTATTATTACTGGCCGGAGCTGTTGACCGACGTACAGCAGCACGTGGGCTCGTGTCCTACGTGTCAGGTGATGAAGAGTTCAAGGAAGCGGAAGGCGGGTCAATTGCAGCCGATCCCACCGCCCGAACGCGCCTGGCAGCAAGTAACCATGGACTTCGTCACGGGGTTACCTTCGAACCCTGGGGGTAACGACGCGGTGATGGTCGTCGTGGATAGGCTGACGAAGATGGCACACTTCGCTGCGTGCAAGAAGTCGATCTCAGCCGAGGAGACCGCTCGCCTGTTCATCGCAGCCGTTGTTCGCGTGCACGGGATACCAGCAGCAATTATCAGCGACAGGGACACGAAGTTCACCAGCAATTTCTGGAAGAACCTCTGGGAGCAGTTCGGGACCAGGCTACAGTTCAGTTCGTCGTACCACCCCGAGACCGACGGCCAAACGGAGCGGACGAATCAGACGATGGAGCAGTTGATTCGTGCCACGTGCGACGACCCCACGACCTGGGAGCAGCAGCTGCCGTTGATCGAGTTCGCGTACAACAACGCCACATCAGCCACGACGCAGCAGTCCCCGTTCTACCTGAACTATGGGCAAAACCCCACAGTGCCCATGACGCCGAGTCCGGACAACCCAACGCCACGTGCACAACAATTCGCCGAAATCCTGCAAGCTGCCCGCGCCAGAGCCGCCGAAGCAATAAAAAAGGCCAATGTCATCGCTAAGCGCAACGCTGATCGCCACCGCCGTCCTGTCACGTACCAATCTGGAGATTACGTGCTGCTTGACACGCAAAATCTGCGACTGCCCGACGTACCAAAATTACGACCGCGCTACTGTGGACCATTCCAAATCAGTCACATGATCACACCCGTCACCGCGCACCTACTGTTGCCAACCGACTGGTACATCAGCCCTTCGTTCCACGTCAGCCTACTTCGCCCATACATCCCGACCACAAGTCAACTGCCGCGTCACCGGCCACAATCAATGACCCGCCCTGCATGAGAGCCGATCATCGAGCCCGAAAAAATTCTGAGCCATCGGATCCGCCACCCCACGGGAATCAGGAGGATTGAATTCCTCGTTCGCTGGAAAGACCGCACGCCAACTGAAGATAGCTGGGTGCCCCTGAGCAACATCGAAAATCACCCTGCCCTGCAAGTGTACCTGAGGAGCCGGGGATTCCGCGATATACACGCACTCGCGTAGCGGAGGGGGCTTCTTAAGGGGGGGGGTAGTGTAAGGAATTTTCTCGGCATTCCTTACGGAACCGACTACATCGCGTACAGCAACAGCCGATTGTTCGCCCGTTACTGCTAACGGAACTTCGCCGACTTCGCGCGCACTGTTTTGCCAAACCTCGCACTGCTGGCATGGCCGTATCGGCCTACGCTTCGGGACTAGCCCGAGCCTCGTTCCAGCGTAGCACTAGCAAGCTCGCACGCACCGCGTTACCGTTTTACATGTTTCGCGTATAAATGTTCGCTCATACCTTCGCTCACATTTTGTACTCGTTTGACACCTTAGTGCAATTCCCGCTACCTCGATTCATTGCACCCGTAACACTGACCTTTGACCTTCTCGTAACCTCCAGCGGTTACCCTAACCTCCGAGGGTTGACTCGCGATGCTTCGATTTGAGCTGCTTCGCTTTGTGTCCTGAGTTTCGACACGACAGAGGCGCTTAAGACTTCTTGTTCCCAACAGTTTGCTCTGCTTGTTTTTCTTTTCTATACCGTATATCATAGTGAACTCTTGAACTGGACTTGTGGCGTTTTGTTTGTCCTCGGAGTGTGTGGTGCTGCTTGTTCTTGACTGGTCTTGTGACCGTTGTTTCGCTTGCTAGTCTTTGGGTACCCCTCACTTAGCCTATGTGGGTGTGTCAAATGCATTGCAATGAGATATTGCCTAGAGAGTACAACTCAGTTTGGGTTACTACTTCTATTGCTTCTCAACCCTAATGCAAACATTCCGTTGCTTCTACTTATATGAGAATCCAACATCATTTCCCAGCTTGTTGGCTAAAAGCCAGAAAAGATCAACGATGCGCATGGATTTCTGAAAGCCCATATAATATAGATATGGGCTGTTTCGATAGAGTATGCTTTGGTTTGTAAATTAATATTGCAAAAATAACCCATATATATGCGAAGAACTAGCTACCCATTTACAGAAGCAGATTATTGCGGCACAAAGAGCACAAGTCAATAACAAGTTCATGCATGGGATTCTAGAAGCAGAAGTGAGGCCAATGTATCAACCTCTGTGCTGGATAGGCCTCATTATTCTTGCTTAGGTAGTAATCCCACTCAGTCATTACGCCTTGCACTTGTCCTAGAAAGGAGTCGACCCAACCATATTGCCTGGTGGGAAGTAGTCGCACACCCACATGCCTCCACCATCCGCACACTGGGCAGCACCGCACCCCACCTGAGTGGTATCCCGCCACACCACCTGCGTGTAGTGTCCACACTGCTTGCCATCCGCACACCCCTCTGGCACGGGGCTGTACGTCCAGTCAGCCTGCTCCGCCACCCACGACTGCACCGCCGCCCGGTCCTCGTCACTGTTGAGCTGCACAGGGCCCTTCCAGTACAGGTTCTGCCCAAGCCCATCCGCTCCTCCATGCTCCATGATGCATCCTCTAGAGGCTAGCTCATTCGCCCATGCCTGTGCTGTTGCTGCCACCCCGTCGTCCCATGAGAGGTCTGGCACACCCACTTCCTGCCGGGCCTTGTTGTGCTCCTCCAGAATGGCTGCCACGTCCACACTGCTGCTGCTGCCACCGTCGCCACTGTTGCCGCTGTCACCACTGCCGTCCCCGCTGCCGTCCCCGCTGCCGTCCCCGCTGCCGTCCCCGCTGCCGTCCCCGCTGCCGTCCCCGCTGCCGTCCCCGCTGCCGTCCCCGCTGCCGTCCCCGCTGCCGTCCCCGCTGCCGTCCCCGCTGCCGTCCCCGCTGCCGTCCCCGCTGCCGTCCCCGCTGCCGTCCCCGCTGCCGTCCCCGCTGCCGTCCCCGCTGCCGTCCCCGCTGCCGTCCCCGCTGCCGTCCCCGCTGCCGTCCCCGCTGCCGTCCCCGCTGCCGTCCCCGCTGCCGTCCCCGCTGCCGTCCCCGTCAGTGCAACCATCCGGGTTTAATTCGTCCAGCTTCCTGGGATTGGAGGCTCGCAGCAGCAGCTTGCGAGGCGAACTGGCACTCTCTGACTGACCGGTGCTGCTGATGGGTGTGACTCCAGCGAGAGCTGGCATGGCGAGTGCAGATGTGACTATTGCGAATACTGCAGACAGACAGGTAGACAGGGGTCAACAGTGGGATGAGAGGAGAGGAAATGATCGATGAGGGGGAAAGGGAGGGGAGAGGGAGGTAAGAAAAGGCAGCGCAGTAGCAGACGAACGAAGATTATGAGAAAAACAGGAGAGAGGCAGAGGAGGGGAACGAAGGGGGGGAAGAAGAATGAGAGAGGGAGGGAGGGAAGAGGGGGAAGAGAAAGGCAGAGGAGAGGGAAGGAGAGGAAAGGGAAGGAGGAAAGGTAAGGATGGGAGAGGGAAGACCAGGAGAGACGAATACGAGAGAGAAGAAGGTGAACAGGAGAGAGAAGAACAGGGGATGGACTAAAAAGTAAGTACACAACTACTCGAAGCAAAAGCTACTATCACCCATTTGTTCATGCACTGACCTTCTTTCAACGGATTCGAGCACGCACTCTAACAGCAATGGCTCGAGCACTCAACCTATTCCAAAAACGAAACCGAAAACTCACCCATTGCGGCGGAGAAGAGATTCAACATGCGGACGACAACCGGCGGCGCCATTGACAGAGAATCGACTATCGGCGAGCGCAGTGGTAAATTCCGAGCTTGTAATACTAATTTGATTCTGTCAGGGTGGTATAGATAAGCTGGATTTTGAGCCTGATTGGGCCAAGCAAGGCTGGAATGAGAAGAGTGAACGGGCTGCTGAAACTACGGCGAGAGATGATTTGAGGGTAAAAGGCAGCTCCATTTTATACTTCAAGAACGTAATAGCAAGCGCAAACGGACAAACGAGACGTCGTTGTTTGGTCGGAGGCAAACGCAGTGCTTTGCGGCGTAGGTCGCTCGAGTGCGACTTCGAATCCGAGACGTCGCAAGATGTTTCCCAGGGCATTTGAAAAGCGATCGCTAGCGAATGAGCCACGAGGAACCAGAGCACCCGTCTGCAATGACAGGCTGGAAGAAAACGCGGCGTGGATGAGAAGGGAGTGGACGTCGTGGCGACAATAATCTCGCGGCTTGGCCTGGCAGCAAACTAGCTCTCAGCGTTTGGTGGCTGCCATATTGCTGTAGAAGCGCAAGCAGACTCAAATAATTGTGTTGGGGGGGAGGGATGCGAGGGGGGGTTACGTGTGCTGGTTGGTTCAGGGTTACTGAAGAGTCTGTCGCCAAATGAACTCGCCAAGAAACTCGTGGATCCTGCCACCCCAAGCCATCGTAACCCCCTCTTGAGTGAGGACGCGTCACCTGAACGCCGATCCTGCGATCGATCGTCGAAAATCAATCTTCCACCGCATTTCAACTACGCGCTTAGGGCGCGTGTGGTCTGTCTAGAAGTTCAAAATAAAGTTCGAAATTTGGGTGGTTACCCAATTCGCTAATTTCGCGAAGGGTGCTTCGCGAACCAAGCATTGTATGGGCTCTGCAAAAGTTCGAGTTTGAAATATGAACTTGACTCGAGTCGGAGGCGGGAACGTGCGTGCGCACTTTCATGCGATCGTGTGTGATTTACAGCACGTCCGGACAGTTGGCGAAACGGGCGAGCGCTTCGCCAGTACATGAAGTTGCACAACGAAGACACCCCACAATTCGTGCACACAGTGGTAGCCACGTGTCCAGCATCGTGGCACGGTCGAGTACGATGTGGCAACGCGTCCCGCCCGTCTTGACGTCAGTCAAAGACACTCCCGCCTTTGCCCAATCCACGTCCCCCGCACAAAATGTCTATGAAATCCTCTGGGAGTGGAAGGCACTTGATACATTCAAATATACCACCCTTCTTCAACACTTGTGTACTGTCTACGCAAATTCCATTCGACATGACAAACGTCAACACTAGCGCCCATGGCTCTGCCACACCGGCAGATGCTACCACTCCAGCAGCCTCTACTCCCGCATCTGTCGCTGCACCGGTCCGCGCACCCGCACCTCAGCGGCGTCGGCGTGTTGCCGTTGATCCGGCCGCTTCCAGGCGCCTTCAAATTATCGACCTGGACGATATCGTGGCGCGTGTGCCAAACCCGAACACTCCTCTAGGTGCAGAGGACGACACCCTCGCGTACTTCGACGCAGGCGAAATCGACTGCCATGGCGAAGACGGCGCTGACGACGACGCCGATGCAGCGACGCCTAGCGACAAAAAAGGGTGGGAGCCGGCGGAAGTCATGCAGCTGGCGTGGATCCGCCACGACTTCGACGAGCAATATCGGAATTTGTGCCGCCTGCAAGGCCAGAACCGGGACGTCATGCTCTACGAGCAAGTCCGTCTTCGTCACCCCGGATGGCGCCATGGTCTCGCAGCCATGAAAGCCAAGGTTTTTCGTATGGAGGCTCACTGGCGGAAGGTGTCGGATTTATTGCTCAAACCTTCCGGGAAGGGGAAGCCCCCCAAAATGCCTATTTTCTATGACATTTTCGACAGGTTCCTAGGGGATCAGGCGAATGCGCATCCCCCGGCGCTCGCGGGCCCCTTGCTTCCCACAACTACTACCACGCCTCCTCCCCCGGCTCGTACCATTCCTAGTAAGTGTTGATTGCTGTTTGATGTGATCCTTATTTTTAACTGCTCATAATTTAAGATTGATGATACTAATACAACCATTCATCAAGGTGGCATGTAATAATGAAAACACCCAACACCCCCCTATGTGTCAGAATGCTATATAGCTTATACATTTGTGTAGGCTATAGTGGGGTATCCCATAGGGGGTACAACCCAATTAGGGTTAGTACTTGTACTCACTCATTTCATAGTTGATTCATTCTCGTTTCAATTCTCACATGGTATCGAGCAGGTTCCCTCGTGGGAACTGTTCCTAAGGCCCTACTTCTGCTTCCGCTGCTACTCGATCTGTCGCACGCCCCGCGGCGTGCGACCTATTTTCATCTCGCCGTTGGCGCGCGGCGATTTTCTTTCTGGCGCGCGCCCCGAGGCGCGCGACCCTGCCTCTTTCGTCGCGGCCCCGCCCCTTGTCGCGGCCCCGCCCCGAGGCGCGCGGCCCCGCCCCTTGTCGCGGCCCCGCCCTACGTCGCGGCCCCGCCCTACGTCGCGGCCCCGCCCCGAGGCGCGCAACCCCGCCTCTTTCGTCGCGGTCCCGCCACTCTCGTCGCGGCCCTGCCCTTCGTCACGACCCCTGCCGCCCTTCGTCGCGGCCCCTGCCGCCCTTCGTCGCGGCCCCTGCCGCCCTTCGTCGCGGCCCCTGCCGCCCTTCGTCGCGGCCCCTGCCGCCATTCTCCACCGCGGCCCCGCCACCTCCCTTGCGGCCCCGCAGCCCTGCACCGACCCGGCCCCGCCTCTGCTGGCCCCGTCGCCTGCCCCTGCGCCCCTGCGACCCTGCTCCACCTCTGCTGGCCCCGCCGCCGTCCCCAAGCGGCCCCGCCGTCACCACCGAGCCGCCGGCGCCGCCGAGCTAGTGCCGAGTCACCCGAGCCGCCCGAGCCGCCCGAGCCGCCCGAGCCACCCGAGCCGCCCTAGCCGCCCGAGCCGCAGCGCCACCTCAGCCGCCCGAGCCGCCGGGTCGCCGAGCCGCCGAGCTGCAGTTGCTGCCGAGCAGCCGTACCGCCGAGCCGCCGAGCCGCCGAGCCGCCCGAGTCGCCCGAGCAGCCAAGCCGCCTGAGGCGCCCGAGCCGCCGAGCCGCAGTTGCTGCAGTGCCGCCGTGCCGCCAAGTTGTCGAGCCTCCTCTTCCCACCACTGGTGAGCCCCTGCCTTACTAGCTTGCTGCCTACTGCTTGCTTGGCTACCTGCCTTACTGCTGCTACTCCTGCTCCTGCTTCTACTGGCGGCAGCCAGATGCAGCTCCATCGACGCCCACGCGCGTCTCTCACGCCCCGGCAGCTTCGTGAGTGGTACGCTCAGAGTGGAGGGTCTCTCAGTTCTGTTCGCTGCTCTTACGTGATTCGCACTGGTGCTCAGACTGGTCAGCCTTGTGGGACGCCTAGTCACACACCGTCCCGCTGCTTTGCCCGTCTGAGCGACGCCTGGCGTACCGAGTTTGGCGACGAGGCTGAGCTCCCCGACTGTGTGGGGTTGCTTAGGCAGAGGGTAGATATATTTGCTCTTGACTATGATGCTATTCTCACTGCCATGTATGCATTGCCTACTAGTGCTGACCGTGCCGGTCACCTATGCGTACCGCCTGACCAGGGTATAGATCCTGCTGCTCTAGCTGCTGGTGCGGCTGCTGCTCTGGGTGCTAGTGTGTCTCCTGCTCCAGGTACAGGTGCGGCTGCTGCTCTAGGTGCTAGTGAGTCTGCTTCCTCAGGTGCGGGTGAGTCTGCTCTCTCAGGTACCGCGTCGGCTCCGGCCTCTCACACCTTCACCCTTGACTCGGGGGCTTCCCGCTCCTTCTTTCGAGACTGCACCACACTCACGCCGCTTGGTCGGCCAGTTGCAGTCTCTCTGGCAGACCCCTCTGGGGGCCCTGTCCTTGCTCACTTCTCCACTGTCCTCCCGTGTCCGGCGGCCCCCTCTGGCACCCTGTCTGGTCTTTACCTCCCCTCGTTCTCTACGAACTTGGTGAGTGGTGCTGATCTGCAGGATGCGGGGGTTCACCAGTTCACTCCTGCGAGTCAGCGGTTGACCCACTGCACAGACGCTCGGACAAGCCGACACCTGGCCACGTTTACTCATCGGCCGCGGTCGAGCCTGTACACACTGACCACTGCGTCTCCTCCAGTTGCTGAGCCTGGTAGGGTAGCTGCGTCAGGTCAGGTCTTTGCTGCAGCGTCCAGGTCTGGTCCTGAGTCTGCCCCCTGTTCGTGTCGTCTCCTGTCTCACGAGACTCTCCTCTGGCACCACCGCCTTGGTCACCCCTCTCTGCTTCGGCTCAGAGGCATGGCCTCTTGTTTCTGGTCTCCCCCGGTCCCTCCCTCCCCTTCCTCAGGGCCCTGGCCCTACCTCTGTCCCCTGTGTCGAGGGGCGCCAGCGTGCTGCCCCTCACTCCTCCCAGTTTCCTCCGACAGAGGCCCCGTTGCAGACGCTTCACATGGACGTGTGGGGCCCAGCCCGCATCCGTGGACAGGGTCACGAGCGCTACTTCCTGCTAGTTGTTGACGACTACTCGCGTTACACCGCAGTCTTCCCCTTGCGCAGCAAGGGTGATGTCACTCAGGTGCTGATCGACTGGATCCGCGCAGCTCGTCTCCAGCTCAGGCAGAGCTTCGGCTCGGACTTTCCTGTTCTGCGTCTGCACTCGGACAGAGGCGGAGAGTTCTCCTCTGGCCTTCTACGTGCCTACTGTCGTGCACGGGGCATCCGTCAGACCTTCACGCTTCTGGACTCTCCGCAACAAAATGGGATTGCAGAGCGCCGCATTGGCATGGTCATGGACGTCGCTCGTACGTCTATGATGCATGCGGCTGCCCCCCATTTTCTGTGGCCGTTTGCGGTCAGGTACGCAGCGCATCAGATCAACCTTCACCCCAGGGTCTCTAGGCCGGAGACCTCCCCAGCCTTGCTGTGGACGGGGAAGGTTGGCGATGCGTCGGCGTTCCGGGTCTGGGGATCTCGGGCGTTTGTCCGCGACTTGTCTGCGGACAAGCTGTCCCCTCGTGCTGCTCC